GAAGGTGCCATCGTGCAAAATGTCGATGTGCTCGCCCGAGAGCAAATCCACCGGTTGAAAACACATGCGGCCAAGTGCTGCCATTGATTGGGTGACCGGAGATGCCGCCCCAGCGAACAAATCCAGGAAAAGCCGGGCTGGGGGAACATGCAAGGGCTGTGTGCACGACCCAGAGGGAGCAGAGGGCGGAGCAGGTTTGGGAGGAACACCGGGCACAGCACGTGTGGAGGACGGCGTCCCGGCGGCACTGGCAGAGGCAGGCAGCACAACCACCGCCGGCGGCGCCGAAGGTAGTCAATGCGGGGCGGCCGCATGCTCGAGGGCCGTGTGGGGCTGACCGCACGGCTTGCTGACCGGACACACGTGCGCATACTTGCAGTTGGGGTTCGCGCACTTGCCAATAGCGTGTTTCATGCACACGTCAGCGCCGTCCACGACGCGCGCCCAGGATGGGTCGAAGCCGGGGATCGGACCGGGTTTGGAAGGAGCAGCCTTGCCTTTGGCTTTGGCCTTGCCTTTAGGTGCAGCCTTGGGGATGGCCGCATCGGCACCGGAGGGAGGCACAGGGTGCTGCCCGTCCGGGTTGGTGCGCTTGCGCAGGTTAGGCTTGCCGGGAGAAGCGGGGCCGGACGGCAGCTGAGGCGCACGGGCCGGCTTCGGACGGGGTTGCAGCAGTGGGGCCATGTCGTGGCGGCAAAAACCAACTTCATTCAGGCTGTCGGTAAGAGACCAGGCCTGGTCACGGACAAGAGCGGAGACCGTCATCCAGACCGCGCGGTCAGCGTGGACCACCTCCTGCAGAACAGGGGCACGGAGGGTGTTGTCCGACGGCGGAGTGGTGGCCATAGTAAAGAACTTATCGTTGAACCGCTTAATGGTGGCTAAGTGAACCAGGTCCAACAAGGCCAAGGCAGTGGCGAAGAGATCCAGACAGCGACGGAGAACAGACTCGGAGGGGCCGTTGATGCTAAAACCAAAGGTCGGCCCAGCAGCTTCATCCGGCAAGTCCAGAAGAGAACGAAGCATTTGGCGATCGCATCTGGGGCGGCGGGATTCCTCCCAATGCAAAAAATCAGCTTCAGAGGTGCGTTGGCGCCAGGGAATCCAAACGGACTGGCCAGACTCTTGGTGCTGACGGATCAAGGACAAAAACTCGACGGACGGAGTGTTGGCGGGCGTCAGCAGCTCGCCCGGATACTTCATGAGGTAGTCCTTGCGAAGGGAAAGGAACTCAGCCGCCGTAAGTTTATTTGAGGTCGAGGCGGACGGGGCAGCGGGCGGCAGTTGCGACGGTGCATTGGC